AGAGGCGGGGAGAAAACGCTTGCGCATCAAGAATTTTGTAAAATTATTGTTAGCGTGTGTAGGAATTCTGTCGTGAGGTGAGAGATTTTCCTTATTTATTACCTGTTGTCACCAAGACGTGTCAAAAACACGTTTCCTACACAGGGCTTCCAAAAGCAGTGGAGGTCTTTAAGAATATCCGTACGTCGTGTTTTACTATCTTATCCAAACATGCGAGATGAAATGCTTAAGAAGAGCGGTCAACAAAACAAGAAGAGACAAAATTAAAAATGAAGTCATAAGGGACACCGTGGGAGCAACACCAGTCTTACTACACATTGAAAAACAAAAGGTCAAGTTGTTCAGGCACCTAACGCGGATGCCCTCAAACCATCCAGCTCTGAGAGCATACAACACTAAATATTCTTGATGGAGAGCCAGAGGAAGACCAAGGCGACGATGGAGTGAATCTGTGGCAGACACCCTTGGAGCTCACGGGATGTCCCTCCTACAGGCCACACGACCTGCTGCAGACAGACGCCTGTGTCTCCCCGCGACACCCCAGGGTACAAGCGGAAGAAAAAAGTAAAAGTAAGTAAGTATCCAAACGACGTGGGGAACTCCAAAAAGAAAATTTACTCGTTAGTCCGATCCGTACGCTTTGAATAACAGCAGTCTGTCAAAATTACTTTTTGAGAAGTACCGACAGTTTCAAAGAGATCTTCGCACTAGAAGTATTCAAAATGTGAAGAACACAGCCTCTGGGGTACAAAATGGCCCCAGGCGTACGGATAGGGTTAAGAATATCAGATGAATAACAATGCAGGAAAAAACACTGAGAGTGAGAGTGGTTTTAAATCATTATGGAGAGGTCGTATTAATGCTTCGGTTAATGTTTCATCGTGAACATCTTTGTTGTCACTGCTAGGAGCCGTGGAAGAGTTTCTCACAAGAAAGGGGAAGGTTGGTGTCATGAGTGACAGTTTCAAATAGTGCTGAGCGGCACGGTTCCCGATTGTTGGAAGCTAGGAATCTTAGGAATCGACTCCGAACCCATTACTTACTTTCTAGTGATGTGATTTCTTCCCGTGGTTACCTGGTTGGCTCCGAACATTTTCAGGGTTTAGGATAACCTTGATTTCAGAACACAACGAAACATCGACTTTTTTGTTTGTTAAATAAATATTTTTAAAAAGATTTTAATAATTAAAGTAACTGGGCACCGTTGGTTTACGTAAAGAGGATCGGGACTTTTCTTCCGGAGCATTAATCGTGGGAATCGGTTCCGGAATCGACCCTTCGCCCAGCTCTAGTTTCAAACCTATTGAACGCAGAGGGGAAATATTATGCAGAGTTGGTATCGATTGTCCTGAAAAGAAAATAACGATATCTCTACCCAGGAGCTGCTCGCTATTCCAAAGTTAGAAAATTTATTGTTATGTTAGATTAAAAATAGAGGTAAAATCGCTCGCTATTCCAGAGTCCTCTCGGAGGTGAAACGGGGTGTTCGACCATGCATTCCAGGTTAATAATAAATTGGATGATAAAGCACAAACCTTGGCTGACAGCCACCAAACACAGCAGAAGAAACATGATCAGAAGCTTCGACATTGTGACTGGTGTGCGTGCCTGTAAAAAAACCAGAAAATTGCGGGGGGGGGGGGGGGGGGGGGGTAGATAATAATATAGGACAAAAGAAATTATACATGTACATTTTCACTGGCATTCGGGTGGTACGGCTTGCGGCAAGATAGATAGATAGATAGATAGATAGATAGATAGATAGATAGATAGATAGATAGATAGATAGATAGATAGATAGATAGATAGATAGATAGATAGATAGATAGATAGGTAGGTAGGTAGGTGGGTAGGTAGATAGATAGATAGATAGATAGATAGATAGATAGATAGATAGATAGATAGATAGATAGATAGATAGATAGATAGATAGATAAATAGAGAGAGAGATAGATAGAGAGAGAGAGATAGATATTGCTTTTGTTTTTGTTGATGTTGTTGCTACTGATGTTGTTTTTGCTGTACAGACTGCTATTCTTGTTTATATTTCGTTATTATTAGTATCATTATTGTTATTATTATAATTATCATTATTACATCATTATAATTATTCTCGTTATAATTACACTGTTATTATCCATATTATTATTATTATTATTATTATTATTATTATTATTATTATTATTATTATTATTATTATCATTATTATCATCATTACTACTACCATCATCATCATCATCATCATCATCATCATCATCATCATCATCATCATCATCATCATCATCATCATCATCATCATCATCATCATCATCATCATCATCATCATCTTCATCATCATCATCATCATCATCTTCATCATTGTAAATAGCAGGGAATAAAAAAGGGTTGAGACTCGTAGACTTTTCAAGTTTAATACTGGTTCAACGTTTCACCCAGTAAATTACTTCGTCAGGAACATTGTTAATATAAATGTTGTTATTATTGTTACCATAATTGTTAATTTTTAAAATTATAACTATTGTAATTGCCAGAACTATCATCATCTTTCATGTTTCTCGCACGCACCATAGATCACTACGACGTAAGTGCACACACTTTAGTTTCCATTTTGTAGATCTCGTCTAGTCATTGATATTATTTTTTTGACGACGCCGAAGCAGCGAAACGCTGAACGTATAAAATGTTTGAAATTCTACACCGGTTCTTGGTTTGTTGGTTTTTGTTGTTGTTGTTGTTGTTGTTGTTGTTGTTGTTGTTATTTTGTGTTGCGTTGTTTTTGTTTTAATGCTGTCTACAAGGATGATGATGATGATGATGATGATGATGATGATGATGATGATGATGGTGGCGATGATATAACTATCTTATCCATTGTTACCTTTCTCAGTTTTTAAGTTCACAAAAAGATACATGAAAATGCGCAAGAAATGGAAGGGGTAAAGGGGAATACTTTTATGCAATTTTAAAGAAATTAATCTGGTGAAGTTGTAAAGGATATCAGTGGCCACACGCATGCCTAGTACAATGTATAAGCAACCCCAAGTTATTTGAAGATTGGATGACATGACGTCCGATGGTTAGAACTTAAGGAAACATAACGGGGTGTCCCTTGTGAGACGTGACACGCTCTTATCATCGCATCTTAGCAAGTCTGTTTCTCAATCAAATCAAAAAAAATTAACGAAGGCGTTAACACTATGAATGAACATTCTTATTCTAATTGTCAGTAGCATAACTGACCAGTTCCAGATAAACTGTCTTCGGGTAGCGTGTTACGTCAACTGACAACAGATTTGATCTCTAAAAATTATTCAATTACAAGATATGTGGTTCATAAGCAGCCTCTCAAATGACGTTGTCGAAAAATTTTGAAAGAAGTCTCATGTATTTATAAAGCCCACCACTGAACCGTAAATACTGCAAAGCGACATAACGATGAATATACCCTAATAGTAATAGGCCGCCCATCTTAAATAATATCAATACGGTTTTCTTGAAATATCTTTCTATAGTTAGCCAGTTTATTGACTCTTGACGTGTATTAATTTAATTTGTTCTTAGTAGTTCAGTTTGATTCTAATGTATTTGTTAGTTAGTGTAAAATGTTAGCTTTGACTTTTTACAGTGGGCTATTCCTTGAATTTTACCCCTGGTGCCAGGCTTGAAATAAGGATAAGCGAAATAGATGTTGTGTACGACTCGACTATCAAGACGATCACAAAAGAATGAGCTTGAGAACACTTTCTACCTTTGACCCCGAGACAAAAATATATTAGTTCTGTTTGCTTACTGACCGTTCGAAACTTCCGTAAATGCTCTTAATTTATATTTTTTCTATCAAGGCAGAAAAAGGCCCTTGGCCTCGAGGAGAAGTACTTTTCGATATAATGCTACAACTTTTTTTTAAAGTTTACACGAAAAGACAAATGTTGTTTATCTTGGTTTTAAAATGTAAAAAGTCCAACTCAAAGATAATCAACAATTATTGTTAATTTAAAAATATTTTTTTCAATGGACAACTTATAGGATGTAAGTGTGTGTATATTGAAAGATATATCTATGTATTGCAGGCGGAAACTGAAATATACCAGTTCCACTTACCACGGCAAGACGAACGACCGTTGATGGGTCTTAGTGTTTGGAAAAAAGCGAGACTTGTCTTGTATTCTTCTGCTCTGGTTTATATATACGCGGGCTCCGGCATTGCCCACACGAGAAGCCGAGGGGCAAGTCACGACTACGACGTAAGGTTACACACAACCAGTCACTTTGACTGTTTTACTTTCAGGATGCTGGCCATCAGAAAACGACACGCGACTTTCACCTGGATGAAATAGGCCTCATTTCAAGTTTGGATGAAGAGACAAATTCAAGAAGGGGCTTGACCACCGAAACCTTGACGTTTTTAGTAGGCCCTACCCCAATATCTGTCTATCTATCTATCTATCTATCTATCTATCGATCTATCTATCTATCTATCTATCTATCTATCTATCTATCTATCTATCTATCTATCTATCTATCTATCTATCTATCTATCTATCTATCTATCTATCTATCTATCTATCTATCTATCTATCTATCTATCTATCTATCTATCTATCTATCTAGCCATCTATCTATACAATATAAATATGTGTATGTGTTAGGAGTGAGTTTGTGTTTGTGCGTGTGTGTGTGTGTGTGTGTGTGTGTGTGTGAGAGAGAGAGAGAGAGAGAGAGAGAGAGGGGGGGGGAGAGGGAGAGAGAGAGAGAGATTGAATATGTGAGTGTGTATATCAGTGGCTGTTTTTTGGTTAAACCAGCTAAACAAATCAAAGGGACTCTCATGGTTGAGCAGCTACTGTGTTCACCTCTCATTCAATAGGTCCCGGGTTCGAATCTGGATAGCGGCGAAGAATTTCCCTCTCTGAAGTGTCTCCGTTCCCCCCCTTTTCCTGCTCTCAAACAATATTCTGTTGATTGCTTTCGTCTCCATTATCTGGCCCCACTCTACCCACCTGCTTTGCTCCCTCATCTGGGCTCCTGGCTTTTTCGGCAGCATTTCTCCTGCTACTCTTTGGCTTCTTCTTACTACTGTCTTCCAGTCACACCCCAGGTCTAATGGTAGGTAAGATCTAACACCTAGCCTTCTCGGATACGGGCAAAAATCTTGGAGGTCCCGTGTGCAAGTTGCGTACGTTAAAGATCCCTCGGTGATAAGAGTAGGCTACGGCCGCCACCCGGGCAAAATTTTAAACCTACCAAAACTAAACATGCTTAATGTGTCCCGCCCGCTCATATGACCTTATGCAGTTGCAAGCGCCGTAAAATACTTACCCAAAAAATCTAAGTGAAAACAAACAAAATGTCAAGCGAGTCATCCACGAGCGCATGTTTGAAACAAAGGTATTCTCATAAACTTGACGTTATTAAGATATTCTGCTACCTGGCTAGCAGTCTAGATATCTTTTCAGATCGTGAATATTATTTTTGATCGTCAGAACTTTCCTACTTTTTTGTAGTTGCTTGTTACCTCAGGTTTGCCGGAGAGGGCCTGCCGTGAGACAGGCAACGACTAGAATGTTCTATCTTTTTTCCTCGTGACAGATCTACCAAAGGCAGCTGTAAAACAAGCACGAGTTCTGTGCATAAACAGGGTATCTCACAGCGGTGCAGCAAGCGTCAGGTGAGACAGAGAGGTAGGGACGAGACAGAGCGTGAAGAAGTAACCTACGTATTGATGGCCAGGGGAGCATAGTCGTTGTCATGTTCTGTTTTCCACCATCTCAAAAATAATGTTTGCCCTCCCTACTCTTGTTCCCTCAACCTCGTATCATCTCCACCCCAACCCACACCCCCACCCTCTTCTCTATCTATCCAACTATCTATCTATTCATCTATTTATTTATCTTTTACTCACACTTTTTCCCTGTATCTGTCAATCTATCTTTCTATCCATCTATCTGTCCGTCTACTAATTCAACTGTCTCTTTGACGCCCTCTTTCTCTCTCTCTCTCACTCACTCACTCTCTCTCTCTCTCTTTCTCTCTCTCTCTCTCTCTCTCTCTCTCTCTCTCTCTCTCACACACACACACACACACACACACACACACACACACACACACACACACACACACA